TCCTGCTGACCCCTGTGTGACCCCTCTTCCAACAAGTGTCCTCCTTCCTGCACTCACACTTGCCAGCTGCCCCCACCCCAGCCTGGCCATCTTCTCCTCTACCCCACCCCATGGGCCTCCCTTCCATCCCTCCCCCTGCTCAAGGTCTCTGTAGAAGGGGAGTTGAGGGATGCTTTGCTAATCTGCCTTTTGACTTCCTCGCCAGGGGCTGGTGGGCAGAGGAGACTCTGCCAGGCAGATGGCATCTCGGTGGCAGGCCATGGGGTCCTCGGTGCGCAGAAGATCTCTCCAGGACCAGCAGCAGCTGGAGGAAGACAAGGGGCTGCAGCCAGCGACTAGCCATCTGGAGACCTCCACCCGGGCCCTGGGCTCCCTGTGCAGGCAGTTCCAGAGGAGGCTGCCCCTGAGAGCCGTTAGCCTCAACCTTGGGGCAGGTCCCTCCTGGAAACGTCTGGAAGCTCCAGAGCCAGGGCAGCAGGGCCTCCAGGCTGCAGCTCTCTCAGCTAAGAACGCCTTGGGTGCCGTGTCCCAGGTAATACTGACTGCAAAGTACCTGTTTTTGGAGGGCTTCCTTAGTGCTGGTTGTTCCTGCCCGCAAGGATCCCCCAAAAAGGTAGATTCCATAAAAGCAGAAACTGGTTATTCATTGTTGTTCCCCTAACACCCCAAATAGCTTCTGGCTTATCACATACAAGTAGCCCCCAATTTAGGATGGTTGGTCTTGGGATTTTGCAACTTCTCTATGGGCTTATCAGGGTATTACATGCATTTTTGACTTAAGATATTTTCTACTTACAATGGATCGTTGAGATGTGACCCCACTGTAAGCCGAGGAGCATCTGTAGAGGAATGAGCGAATGGAATTGCCGTGGAGGAAACGTGCTCACGATACCATGTGATGGGAGCTGTCTTGTGAAAAGAGATCTCAAACAAGTGGCTAATGGTGGGGGGAACAGCAAACACCATGTTAGTCAGGCAAGGCTCCCCAGAGGAGTGACTCCGAGAGTCACAGGAAAGGGGATGGGTACGGGAAGTGAGATACTGTGCATCCAGACCCAGAGCGGAAGGAAAGCAAGATACTGCGGAGGATGGCAGGGATTTACTCTGGTGTGGCTAGAGGACAGGGAGCAGGTGGGGCAGGCAGAAAGGAGCCTGTATGTGCCGGTGTCTGGACTCAATTGGGAGTGGGAAGGATTCTAAGTGGGGTGGGAAACCCGGGGAAATTAGCGTCCTAGAACTTGGGCCCCTGAGGGCACCTGTGGGCCCAGACATGCAGGGAGATGAAGAACTTCAGGAGCTGCTCAGAACATAGATCTCAGAGGATCTGGTGTCTGACCAAATGTGCCAGCAGGAAGTTGTCCTTATGTTGGGAGGAGGGGCCTCCAGCCTTCCATCTCCTCCTCCAACAGACAGAGCTGGAGATGTGGGGAGGTGTCACCTAGAAAGGACAGAAGCCAGGAGAATGAACAGACAAGGAGAGAGCTGGGGGGAGGGTCTCTCCTGGGTGTCTTACTGGGAATTCTGAAGACGCGGGGACAGAGTAGCTGTTCCGGGGCCCTTTGCAGAAAGGTCTCTGAGCCCTGTGAAGGCCCTATGATTGTTTTCACCACCCTCATGGGTCAGAGAATTGAAATGAGGTATGTTGGCCAAGTCACGATACTCACCACATTTAATTAACATGACCTTCCTCCTGTGCCTGGACTCTAATTTGCAAAGGCAAAGACAGCCTAGCTAATGAGCCATCAACCAGCTGGTGCAAAAGGCCGAGAGTCAAGGCTTGGTCCTAGGGGTAACGAGGAGCCACAGACAGGTTTGAAGCCGTAGACTGCCCTTCAGAAGGATCTCTATGGGCCAGTGCAGAGGATGGATCAAAATGAGTAAGACCAGAGTCAGAAAGACATTATATCCTGGTACGGGAGGCCGAGCACCATGGGTTGATGGCTGGGCCTTCTCCTTGAGTCTCTGGGTCAATCTGTCTAGAAAGAGGGTTGGATTTAAACCTCTATGAGCCTCTTTGAGCCTCTTCTGCTGCTGCCGTCACTACAGTCCTATCTAGGGGCTCTGAGCTGGGTCCCTGCAGTGGGCTCATTTCACATGGGACCATTTACACCCCTCACCCTAGAGACTGCAAGCAACCTATACTGGTGGGAGGACTGGTGGGCCCAGGGGTTGGAGGTGGCTTGGGTGTAGTAGCACACCCCTGGTTTTTTCTGTGCTAAACTTTCCACGTGCCTGTCCAGAGAATCCAGGAGTCCTGCCAAAGTGGCACCAAGTGGCTGGTGGAGACCCAGGTGAAAGCCAGGAGGAGGAAGAGAGGAGCTCAGAAAGGCAGCAGCTCCCCAGTCCACAGCCTGGGCCAGAAGAGCACTCGGCTGTCTAGGGCCACCTCGGCCCACTCAGCCCCAGAACCCTGGGAACGGGCATGCTGTTGCCTCTCTGCCCAGATGGGCCCGCGGGCCCACCTGCTACGTCGCTCGAGGGGGGAGGCCGCCTTCCGGAGCCCCTACTCCTCGACGGAGCCACTCTGCTCACCCAGGCAAGTGAGACAGCACCTCTCCCCAGAGCTGGCGGCCTTTCAGCACAGGCCCTGGCCTCTCAAACATGAACTAGGCCCTGGGGGCTTCTGAGCACTCTCGTGGCTACCTGGATCTTGGAGCGCTTGAGCCCAGTCCCATCCATGGTCTGGCCCAGCCCTTTTCCAGCCCTACCCCTCACATCCCACCCCTTCTATTGGGGACCATCTGTAAAAGGAAGAGGTGAGCTCAGTGCTAACTGGATCACACTTTCCCAAGCCTCCTGGTGAGCCCAAAAACAAGTTTTGAAGTCACCTAGAGGGGTGAGCCAGTTCCCGACTGCGGAACAGCAGGGCTCAACCATTTGCAGGATCACTTGCCCTTGACCTTTCCCTTGACCTCTCTCAGTTCTCTGCCCAGTTCTCCAAGACCCTCAGATGTCACTTCCTGGAGGGTCGGTCTAGGGTAAGGCATTCCCAGCCCACCAGGGTCCTCTGGCCCTCAGGCCCCAGCACAGGGCTGAGTGGGGCTCCTGCCACAGGCTTCCACCTCATCACCATGTCTTTCCTTGTGTCCAGTGAGTGGCATTTCCAGGAGCTGTCCCAAGAGCTGGATGAAGCCACTGTGGCTGAAGAGAGGTGAGGTGGCATCTCGTGCTTCAGATGAAGTGGCCAGGAGGCCTCCCCCTTGAGCCAGGCTGTCTTTGGAAGCAGGCTCTGCCCTGCTGTGTGACCCTGGCCAACCTCTACCTCAGTCTCTTCATCTCAGAACTGAGATGGGATGAAACACCAGGATTGGGGTGATGCTTAAGAATGCACCCTGGATGTGCATGGTCCTCCAGACCTTGGGCTTCCCATGATTCCATCCCATGGAACCTCACATGAGGCCAGGTACCTGGTTCCTGAAAGGTCTGCCCTTCCTCCGACACTCTCCATGGCTCAGCCATGTCCTGCCTGTACGTGGAGCTGGGACACGTGACATGGCTGAAGTGGAGTTCCCGCCCAGGTCCCATCATGGGGACGGGGCCTCAGTTCTAGATCTGCCCTATATTGGAAGCCATTTGCCCTTTGAACAATGGCCTCAGTGGAGCCCTAGACAGGGCCCTGGCAGCTCTGATTACAGATCAAGGGGCCCTTTTCCCACCACCATTCCAGTTCTGGTTCTGTCAAGTCCAGATTGAGAGGGCCCCCTCAGAGCCGTGGCATCAATCCCACGTGCTTCTCCATCTTCTAGTGGCGACATGACCATCTCTCTCATTCGTGACTGAGGACAGCGCCCTGCAGGTAATGTCCTTGTCCCTAGCATCTTCCTGTGTCTTCCCCCTCTCCCGCATAGATGAACTTCTATGCATTTTTTTTAAGACCTGTTAAAGAAATGAGTATTTTCTGAAAAGCCCCACAGAGCTGATGGCCACATCAGAGTAAGAAGAGCCGCGTCTTCCTTCCTACCTGCTCGGAGCCAGAGCTGCTATCCTCCTGACCCATTGTTAACTGAGCATGCCAGGGGCCCCACATAGCTAGAGCCACCTTCTAGCCCCTTCACCTGCCCTGACCCAGCGAGGGGCACCAAGTGAGCTCTGTCTTGCAGGAGACATGCCTATCTGACCACCATGCCCTCACACCACAATGTCTGTGCCACCCACAAGCTTCCAGCAAGGGGCGCCCAGGAGCCGTCAGTAGCCCTGGGCTGCTGCTTAAGGAAGACCTGACCGACAAGGGGCCCAGAGCTCTCCTGCTCCGGCCACAGCTGGACCCATCAGTAGCCACCTGCCACAGCCTGTGAGTGACTTGGGGAGACCTTGGAGAGGCAGTTACTCCTGCTCCCCCACTCTTGGGCTTAGAAACCCATTCATACTTCGCCTGTGGCTGCTTCATCGCCAACGTGAAGTACAGGCGCAGAGATGTGAGCTTGGAGTCAGGCATGCGTGAGCAGGGGCTTTGGGGGGTTATCCGTGAATGTACTCACCTCGTATTTCCAGTACTGAGACCCCGGGGACCCTGCTCCCTCCAGGGCCCCTGAGGAAGGGGCAGAAACTATTTTCAGGCTCTAGGACCCTGAGCTCCCCGATTCCAGTGCCCAGGGCACTGTGGGTGTGCAGGGAGGGGGAGCACCGTTGGGAGCAATTTCTGCCCTTTGTAAATTATTTAAGAAATCTGCTTTGTCATTTTATTAGAAAGAAACCAGAGAATGACTTTCCTAGATAACCCCGCTTTTTCATAATAAAAACTCTTTGTGTATTTGTCATCTCTTTCCTTTCT